CTGCCGAATAAATCAAACTTATGATTGGTCATTCGACGTCATTTTTAATATTTTCTAGTACTTTTGCGATACTGCCATAAGCCGGTCGCGCTTCTCTGATAATCTAGGACTCTAGTCGCAACAAGCTTGCGATCGGCTTGCAACTAAGTCCCGAAACACAATAGATGTAGTAAGCCTTAAGCCGTAAGAAATGGACCAATCGCAGTCGAACGTGAAGAAAATGATCGATTACGATTGGTCAATTTCTTACGGCTTAAGGCTTACTACATCTATTGTGTTTCGGGACTAAAGCGCCGGTGTCTGCATGAGAATCCAGCCTAATCGTTCAGTGGGGCGTGCGTGCACAGTCTATCTTATAAATCTATGGTAAATGGTTGTGACGAATCCTCAAAAATCTTAAGTCATTCAGTGCTACTAAAAACCGTTTGATACGAGCAGTTTGAGTCGACGCATTTGATAATCCGATTAAATTAACTCATATAGCTTTCTCAGATTGTAATGGAAGAATTAGGCATTATTTTACCCGATAAGGTATGTTTAAATTGGAATTATTAGTCACATTTATATGGGTTTATGTGCGCAAACAGTAACCTTTTATATGTAACTAATTATTATACATTTAGGATTATGGCTGATAATTTTAAATAATAAAATTTTTACAATACACAAACATATCATGTAAACTTGTATTGGTATTTTCAGGACGTAGGAGAAATTGATTGCAAACCAGTTGCTGGTCATTATACAGGAGCTGGAGATGAGCTGGATGTTGAAGATCTTTACACTAAATATAAGGTATTGTTAAATATATAATACATTTACACACACACACACACACGCACACGCACGCACACACACACGCACACACAAATTATATATTATCATATAAAATTAGAAAAAAGCTAAAGTTGGTAGTAAAATGTTCGGCGCATTAATCAAAGTGCATATTTCATTGTAAAAAACATACCTATTTTAATATGTGAACACAGTTTATAGTATATGTGATCGAAAATGTGATCGAATACATTAGTTTTTTTACAATGAAATTGCACTCTGATTACTGTGCCACTCTTATTAGCTTTTTTTATTCTTAATTATCAATTTCAAGAGTCCAGAGGAAGTTTTTTTTAAATATTTGTTATATATCACATATCTTGAAAATATATCTAGAATTATTTTCAGAAAAACATACATTCTCTGTGTCATCAATTAAATAATTGTGTAACAATATTTGCTATTGACAATAAAATTGTATATAATTTGAGCATTAAATGTTTAATATAAATATATGTTTATACACAAACATCATATATATTCATAAATAAAAAAATAAAAAAAAAATTTTACAAATATATTGTAATTCTTTGAGTAGAAACTTCAAAGAATGCTGGAATTTCTTGAGGTACAAGAAGAATATATCAAAGATGAACAACGTAACCTAAAGAAAGAATATTTGCATGCTCAAGAAGAAGTTAAACGTATTCAGAGTGTACCTTTGGTCATTGGACAATTCCTAGAAGCTGTTGATCAGAATACTGGTATAGTGGGTTCTACAACAGGCTCGAATTATTACGTACGGATTTTGTCTACCATAGACAGGGAACTCTTAAAACCTTCTGCTAGTGTAGCACTTCACAAGCATAGCAATGCTTTAGTAGATGTGTTGCCACCAGAAGCTGACTCTAGCATTTCCATGTTACAAGCAGGTAATAGTTTTCTTCTCTCTTTTAAGTGCTATATGATTCGAGACCCACCCAATTAAAAAAGAAGTGAATCAAAATGATTAAATTAAAATTTGATTAAGGTTTCGCGAGTAAGATTAAAGTCTTAATAGAATTTAAGCTATTGATTACATAAGATTTCATTTATTTAATGTTCTTTTGCATTGATTTATGCATTGTAATCAATGTTTTTTTATTGTCTTGATTTATTCTTTCTTGGTCTTTAAAAAATAAATATATATAAAATTCAATTAAAATGATAGGGATTGTAAATATCAAATAAAATGTAATGAATTTATTTCTTTTTTATATACAGATGAGAAACCAGACATTCAGTATAGTGATATAGGTGGAATGGATATGCAGAAACAAGAGATCAGAGAAGCAGTAGAGTTACCTCTTACTCATTTTGAATTATATAAGCAGATTGGCATCGATCCACCGCGAGGTGTACTTATGTATGGTCCACCTGGTTGTGGAAAAACTATGTTAGCAAAAGCTGTTGCTAGACATACTACTGGTACTAGAGAAATTTATATATAAAAAATTTAAGTCTAGTCTAATTGCATAAAAATAAAAAAATAGTAAATCTAATTGTATCTATTTTCTAGCTGCCTTTATTCGCGTAGTGGGTTCTGAATTTGTACAAAAATATTTGGGCGAAGGACCGAGAATGGTACGAGACGTATTCCGTTTAGCGAAAGAGAATTCACCGGCTATAATATTCGTCGATGAGATAGATGCTATCGCTACAAAGAGATTCGACGCTCAAACTGGAGCAGATCGTGAAGTACAACGTATTCTCTTGGAGTTACTCAATCAGATGGATGGTTTTGATCAGACAACTAATGTCAAAGTTATTATGGCGACAAATAGGTTAGTCAATTCTAACTCTAAAAATTTAATTTTATATAGCTATTAGAGCGCATGAGCTTAAAAGCAATATATCCTTGTCTTTATTATGTATTTTACAGAGCGGATACATTGGACCCTGCATTGCTTCGTCCTGGTAGATTGGATCGCAAAATTGAATTTCCATTACCTGATCGTCGGCAGAAGCGTTTAATTTTCTCCACGATTACTGCAAAAATGAATTTGAGCGAAGAAGTGGATCTTGAGGATTATGTAGCACGACCAGATAGAATTTCTGGAGCTGATATTAATGCTATCTGTCAAGAGGCAGGAATGCATGCGGTTCGTGAAAATCGTTACATCGTTTTAGCAAAAGATTTTGAAAAAGGTTATAAAAACAATATTAAGAAAGATGAGTCTGAACATGAATTCTACAAGTAAATCGGATAATGTGTTCCGTCATTCGACTATATCTTACATACATATATAATTAACATGCGTATAATATAGACATGTTATAAGATTAAAATGGTTAATATATATAATTGCTGTGTCCTTTCTGTTGGTTTTCTATCTGTCATCTTTTTTTGCTTGATTTTCATTCTTATCATTTAGTTAGGGCAATCAAGCAATCTTTGTAATCACTTTCATCAATTTTCTTTTATCACATGCCCTTTCTAAGAAAATTATATATTCCACACAATAAAGATTTAAAACTTAATCTCTTTTTATATACGTGCCTATTTTCTTGAACTTTTTATTTTTATGGTGAGACAATACTGTGTGAGAATTTGTAAATAAAGAAAAAGAAGCCTCTTTTTATAAGGCTCTCTTTCTTTATTCACAACTTTTTTTCTTTTATAAATAGATATAGATCTTATGATGATGTTTATTTGTTCTTTCAATTTTTTATTTCTTTCTATCATACATATGTATATATGTATGTATGTACATACATACATACAAAGGGTAGTCAAGGTCAGGCTCTTGTGTTTTTATAGATATATTATACACATCACGTTATATCTCCTTCGAATAATTAAAATAGCCAAAAGTAGTAGCAAAAATCAATATTTCGTGAAGCTAAATTATATCATGTATGTATTTGTCTAATCGTAAGAATATAAATTCAAAATTTTTAACAATTTCATATTTGTATATGGATAAGTCGTATATAGCATTAAATTGAATGTTAATTAATTGGTTTTTATCACATCGATATACATCATCGATAATGATGATGAAATATGAGTCAATGTGAAATTATTTGTGAGATTGCGACTTGAAAGCTGAAATAAAAGTTGCATTAAATTTAAAGGCAGATACAATATATTTGTGGTTGTCCAAAATACATTGCATGTATGTTAATCTATATTTTTTAAAAGCTTATTGGATTATGCTTGGCTTTATATTAATAATAGAGAGGTAGTAAGAAAGATAAAAATTACTATACGCGTAGGATTGCTGAAAAACGGTATTACGGCAAAAGTGTAAGAAATATTGAGAAAGAATGTTCGATTATGTTTTGATAAACTATATTAGTAAAAACCTATTTTTGAGTGTGTTAGAAAAAATAAAATTAGTAGTAATTAATATTATTTTGTTAGCGTATTCGTTTATTAATTTCGTTACACAATATGATTCATGATTTTAGGGGGTTTTGCCTTTCCATCGAACTTTGAATTATCATCTGTAATCCTCGTAACTGACGAAATGAACGTAATAAACGATGTCTTTTTGTGCAATATCGAATTTTGTTCTAAATGCAATTTACTACAATCAGGTAATATAAGATTTTCAAAAATAACGCTGAACAAATTTTTTCTTGGATCAGTATTATATAAATTATATTTTAGGTAGTATATAGTTTCTCTCTATAGTTTCTACAAATATACATATATGAGAAATGCCTTAAATCGTGTATGCTTTCATTGACGAGTTCAAATTAATTTATAATTCATAACCGTTAAACTTTTTTCTACTTAATACTTTAGCATCTATTAACAAGAATTCGAAGACAAATGTATGTTCTAAAGAAACTCGGTATGATATATCCAGACTTGATTATGCAGTCTACAAAGCATTGAAGGTTAATAATTGTTTTCAATCATTATGTGTGATATCATGTAGTGATATATATCGTTCAAAATTCATATTTATTTGTATTTACAAATAATGAATATCAATATGAATATCTATACAAAAAATGTACCATTGATTATAAAAAATATGTTAAAATCTTAGAGTTACAAATTAAAAGTTAAAACAAAATTGATATCAATAATTATAAATTTATTAAAAAAAGAGAAGTATATGTATGTATATATATAATACATATCTTTCTTTTTCACATCTTAAGTTTATATATACTTTTCTAACTGTTTATTTTTATTTATAGATTCTTGATAAACATATCGATGTTCTCCACACAATAAGTGCTCATTGTAAACATATTTCAATGACATCGGCTTTATTTTTGTATCACATCAGTTATTTTTTAGAATATGTTTTAAGTAAAATGTATCTTACGCCGGAACAAGAGAGAAGCAAAGAACTACATTACAGAAAACTTTGGCATTGTCAGAAAAAATCTATTGAAGATGTTGCTAGTAAAATATATATAATTTTTCATATGAAAAAAATTATATAAAAATACTTTTATAATCATCCATGTCATCAGGGATACATATATATTGGAAATTAATATTTTCTTACTTTTCAGTGATTTGATATTTTCAAATCAAATTGCATGGTAGTATGGTAGTATCGATATACAATTAAGTTTATTATAACTTAAAATTTTGATAATTAGTCTGATGAAGAATATCCTTGATTGACGTGCATCGAAAATTAAATAAGATTAAAGATAAATACCAACTTATAAAATATCGAATTAATCAAACGAAATATAGTTTTACTTTTTTTTTTTGCTAACTCATGATATTTACATTCAGACAGCGAAATCTGTCGATAACAAGTTTCTGCAAAGAATGGATTTACTATAAATTTTGTCAGCAGAAAGACTATAGATTTGATAATGGGTCATATTACATATACATATATAATGCTGCTAAATTGACAAAATGTTGGCATAAATTTAACAAAGTTTATCAACAAAATGTGGCAGGTTAATTATTGACAAAAATCGAATAGACTTTTACATACATGCAGTTTGATGACAAAAATCATAATAGAGCAGAATCTGTGTTCGATAGATTTTGTTTGATTTTTGGACGATATATTGGATCGAAAATATTTAGTTTTGAAAGTATAAGGTATTATATAAGATACAGAGTACAGTCGAAATTCTTCCGCGCCGCTTCTCTACTTTAGACCTATCTAGATCAAGTATATACATATACAGTGTGTTTCTACATTTTTATATAATTTTCCTTACCGGCAGATTTATTCAAACTTCAAACTCCTATGTAAGATATATACATATGTGAAATGACAATATCATTTTGAATTAATATTGATCGCTATCGATTGGCTATGCTATGCAAGTAAAACATACGTCGAAGTAGTGAAGTGGAGCAGCGCAATAAGAGGAGACGTACATTAATTAAGTTTATAAAGTTTATAGTTGAGCTGAGGTTGAGAGAATATAATAAAGTTAAGAATACAGCGATATTAAATTTCGACTGTATGATATATCCATGATTAAGCTCGTAAGATAGAAATTACATATGTAATTATATAGTATGTAATTTCCCTTTTCTCTGATTTTTCTTTTCCCCTCTGGGCATATAATAGGATCAACTATGGATCTGGAGACGCAACGAATTAATCATAAAAAAACGCTCGAGAACATAATTAAACGGTACAGGAAAAATATAGTTGCTATTGATGAAATTGACAAAAGATGCAACGAATATGTCACAAATACAAAGTATCTATATTCTCAAATCTTTTAATTTATACTTTATTTGCGTTACGGCAAAAAGATATATCAATAACGATATTATTAAGTGTAACACAATAAAAAGAAATATAGGAACAGGGAACAGAGAATAAGAATTTCAGCCTATCAGAAACCGTATGGTACGTGTACGTACCATAGTGTACGGTTTCTGACAGGTTGAAATTCTTATTCTCTGTTGCCTGTTCCCTATTCCTTTTCATTGTGTTTAA